AGAGTCCTTTTATTATGAAATAGAATGCCTATATTTTCTTTTTTCTTCTGCATACTCACAGGCCAGACTCCTGGAGAATCACCTCTCCTAGGGACAGCACTAGAGACAGGAGCACCTCAGGCAGGAATTCTGCTGTACCAGTGTGCTGTCAGGGATGTCTCGGTCTTGCAGCAGTCCATGCAGGTGCTCTCTGTTTCCTCAACACAATGGGAGCTGGCAGTGGTTGAAGAAGCCTGAGAGCTCACCTGTGTGGTGTTCACGAGGTGCTCCAGGAGTGCTCAATAAATCATGACAGCAATGGTGCAGGCCCAAACAGGCAACTTAGCTTCTCATTTGTAGGTGTAGCAGGACGATTTGAATCATGGGCACAGAGGGAAGACATGCAGAGAATTCAGGAGTTCTCCAGCCCCTTCTCAAGTAACTTCCTTTCTGTAAACTTTGAGCTTTTCTAGCCTGAGATATTTCCTCATAGGACACAGGAGACTTTAAAGTTCCTAATCTGCTGAAAGGCTGTACCTGGCAGGGGGTTGTTCAATACTTGTCCAGTTTGGGTTTTTTTATCTTGCCCAAAAAGTGTTTGCCACTGACTGCTGCTGGATTCAGGACAGTGTCTTGGTGGATCTTTGTTCTGCGTTGGCACTGCAGGCCCCTTGTTGGATAGTTTTGCTCTCATGAAGGACTGGGCTGCAATTTTTGGGAGCTGAGTGGGGAGGGAAGGGGCCAGTGACATGGGGAGTGATGCTCCTGGTTAAGTGCCTGAGAAGAGTGAGCAGGGGACTCTTGGCATGAAGTCTTATGTTGTGCTGTGTGTGTTTTCCTTGTCCTCAATGAGCTTGGGTAACAAGTTTCTTCATCTCCAGAGGATCAAATGCCATCTTTCACACTGTAAAGCCACCATGCAGCTCTGGGCTGCAAAGGTTTTGGCTAACTAGGCCCGTGGAGCCTAACAGGAGGCAGACTTGTTGCTTTTATTTACACCTGGGTTTAGCAAGTTGCTTGAATCTTCTTTATAACTTAAGCATCTTCTACTATACTTCCTGTGAGAGCTTGGAAAGCTTCTTGGAGCCCTTAATTTTGCTTGGTGTGTCTAAAAACATGTCATCCCCTACCCTGTGCTGCTTTGAAAACAGCAGTCAAATCATCCTGGTAAGGGAGAGGAACGAAAGCAGTGGGAGCATTCCAGAGCCTGGGTGTATTCATAAGTGAGGCTCATACTAGAAGCAAGTAGCACTAATCAGCTTTTCCAGAAGAAATGCCTAGGAAGCTTTCACGTAGATCATCATTTGTTAATTTTCTTCCTTAGTTGTTTATTTATAGTCACACTGAAATGCTTCAGAGCTAGTCTTGCTCCAGGAATGAGAAACCTGTGTCTGGTGCCATGGGTGGGAGTGTTGTCCTGGACTGTCACCAGAAATAGGTGCAAGTTTGACCCATTATCAAAAAACAAAGCAACCAAATTGATCAACTTTGGGACATGAGAATGAACAGGGATAGTTTAGGGTTTGCCTCAGTTGCATGTCTAATGAAAAACATATTTAATTAATGTGGGGAAAAAACAAGCAAGAGGTGACTTCTGAAGTCTGAAAGATCTGTCCGTGTGATGGCTCAGTAGTGTGTGGTTAACCAGTTGCTCACTCTTCAAGAAAGGGCTCAGCTCTCTGCTGTAGCCTTTGTGTCTCTGCCTGCACCCCATTGTGTCTCTAGTTGATGGAAAACAATCTCTGATGGAATCAAAGTTACATCTAATGCCATGGTGTAAAGCAGGGAGAAGAGATAGCAGGAGCTGAAGGTGAAAGAGCTGGTGGTGTTGCATTTATGGTTCTCTGGTTAAGGCAGTGTTAGGGTGTGTGGTAGAAAGGAATGTTTGCAGCTGGTGCCGTGGTGCTCCATGTGGTGCTACCTTCTGGTGCTCCCCAAGATATCTTGAGAGGTTTGGCTACGTAGAGGGTAAGTCACTTCTCCTGAAAGGAACCTTCTTCATAAGGCAATGGGGATGGTTCTGTGAAAAAATGCTTCCAGCACAGTGGAGTCTTCACCTGGTGCAATCCCAGGAAGGGTTTCTTCATTGCTAGCACAGACGTTTGCTGCACACAGGGCATGCAACACTAGCTGACATAGTTTCCCCCCCATCCCCTCTGCACTTTTTCACCCATTTCTCACAATTATTTTATTTGTTTTTTTACATAATAAATATCTGCTTTTGTTTGCTCTCTGTAGCAGTGTAACTTCTGAACCATTACAGGCTCTTTGTTGCCATCTGTGCTAGCAAGACTGTAGAATGTGCTAGACTAGGGGGGAATGTTTGACAAATAAAAACCTGTAATCCTCTGCTCTGTGTCTCATGCAGTTTGTTCTGTTTCCCAGTTGAGGACCAGTTTGGTTTTTTCCTTGACTTCTTTCCTCTGCCCTCCTCACCTGCTAGGGCAACCCCTTGGTGCAATGCACCTTAGCTGGCCAGAGGTGGAAGTGCTGCAGTGTGACAGCCCACAGAAGGCTCCAGTGTGCTCTGCTGTGTGTAGAGCCCCTTGTTAGAACTTGCTGGCAGTGTGTGTGGACTCGTGTGGTTGCCAAGCCCTAAAATTGACCCTGGAGAGTTTTTAATTCTGCAGAACTACTCTACGGTCATTCTAGCCCCTTCATTCCCTGCCCTTCTAGACCTGAGTGCAGAAGATTACTTCATTTTATATAGCTACATACATCCATCTTTGAGTGTCAGCAACAGTTATCTCCAGGAGCAGAGATGGATTTGCTGCTGCTCTCTTCTTCCAGCTACCCTACCCACAAGCAGATGCTGACAACTGGGACATGTGTGCATGTGAGTGAACTTTTAGCTTTGCTTGCATACCTGATACAGTCTGAGCCAGTGAAGCAGCTTGTGAGAAAGGTGGTTGAGCCCTTGAATCAAAACCAGTGTGCAATTCTCACAGATCTGCCTTCTCAAAGCTGGGATGAGGCTGGAGAATGTGCTGTCCCCCTCTGCCTTGGGGGTGCTCTGTGCAGTGGAGGCAGGTAAGGAGATCAGAGAGAAAGTGGGGAAGGAGAGTAGGACACGGGATCCACTGGACTGGCTTGACACATAGGGTGCAAGTCGGGGATGTTTTAAAATCTACTGAGGAGAAAGTTTCATTCATGAAATTGCACAGTGTGTGTGGTCAGAACGCTTGCCTTCCAAGCCTTGAATACTCAATATTCCAGGCTAAATGATGGTACAGCAGTGCCTGTCCCAGCAGTGTTGAGCAAAGCTTGGTGGCATCTGTCCCAGCAGCAGTTATCCTGTCACTGGTATCACTGTCCTGGCAGCAGCACTGACTCAGCCAGTACTGCCCAGCACCTGGGCTAGCATTTTACTGGCCAGGCAGTACTGGTTTGGCTCTGAACAAGCTGGCTCAGCCCCAGCACAGGTTCCTCTAGCCCACGCTGCTGGGAGGGCGCATTTGCAGGAGGACTGAGGAAAGACCTGGTCCTGATTTTTGACCTTTCTCAGTGAGTACCTGTTTGTGAGTACAAGCAAAATGGTTCTTGCTCAGCTGCAGAAGCAACACCCATATTTCACTCCTCAGCTCCTTTCTCTGGCACCCTCCTCCTTGCTGGAACATCAATGTGCCTTGAAAACCTTCCATCTTTTTCTGTTGAACATGCAACATTCTGAGCATGGGAAGGGGACACAGTTGAGCTGTACAGGATAGGCCCAACCTCAATGAGCAGCTGCTGGCTCTGGACCAGAGCTGTCAGTGCAGGACCCTGCTGCAGCTGGGCACGTTGGGTTTTCTGGAGCCATCTTAGAGCTATGATCAGCCAGATGCTGCTGTCCTGTGTTCAGAGCAGTCATGTAAGTTGGGATCCCCTCCCCAACATCTGGCAGAAATAAAGCATGCATCCATGTCAAACATAATATATTTATAGCAAAAATAGGCTTTTTCTGTAGCTTCCATACACAAGGTTTTCTCCCCGTACATTTACGCAGTAAACAGGTCGACTGAAGCAGCGTGTGCTGGGCCGACTCAACAGCTGCCCTTGCTTCAGGCTCCCACTTACCATGGGATGGCCTCAGTCCCCTTTCATGGCTGTTCTCTGGAGCCTGCACAGGATCACCTCCCCAGCCAGGGGCTGTAGCACAGGTAGGGAGCAGCCCTGGGACTGGGGGAAGCAGTGGTGTGTGCTCCTGCTCTCTGGGCAGAGGGGCAAGGCTGGTGCATGTGCTGCCTGTTCAAATGGGGAGTCCCCAGCCCAGGTTCAAGGACAAGCTTCCCACAGTCTCCTCCACCATATTATTAAGCAGCAAGTGCCTGGGCACATGGCCTCAGACCTTCCATGGTGGTGAGAAGATACAAGCCATGTTAACTCAGGAAGCCTCCCTTGTTCCTCCTGCCCCTCTGCTGATTGGAGGCAGAGGAGAGGCTTTGGGGCAAGCTCCCTGAGGACTGCTCTCCCGCAGAAACCTCCAGAGCCTGAACACTGTTAGACACCTTCTCACCCTTCTGTCAAAGAGCAGGGCATTTTGCCATCAAGAGCTTCACAGTTTGGAGTTCACCTGGGTCATCACTTGTCCATCCCAGGAGGGTTTGGCACATACACCTAAAGGACGGGAGACATAGGCAGCAAGTGCTTCCCCCTTCCCATCCCAGGCTGGGAAAGGGCCCTCACTTGGAGCCAGTGATATCCTGCATGACCATACAACTCAGGACATTGCAGCGTGCCCATGAGCTGCCTGGGCTGTTCCCAGGTGAGATGCAGCACCCAAACAAGGCCAGGTGCTGCAGGGTGGCTCGCAAGCAGGGCAGCTGCTGCAGCACAGGGAAGGAAGCCAGCTCTGCCCTGCCCTCCCTGTGCCAGCTTAGGCTCCTGCAGCGCCTGGGCAAGGAGATTCTAGTCACAGGGAGCATCCTTCCAAACCAGCCACAGTCCCCTCCCACGTCCCTCTCACTCTATGTCTTTGGCAGTCCACCTTGGACATGTTCAAGTCTCCAGCATCATCACACTGATATCTCAGCAGCACGGACTTGCCTCACAGTTTGGTAATTGCACATAACAGGGCTGCTCACCAAGCCCCACGAGGGGGGGAGTTAAAAAAAAAAAAAAGGAATAAGACAGTCAAGTAAACTAAATGGAGTAATCCCTTGCCATCTGTCCCAGCATGACAGGTCACACATGAGTCCAGGGAGAGAGGCTGCTGCCCAGCCCTGCTGCAGTGCAGGTCTCCACTGTCTAGGAGATCATGTACTGGGTGATGGCCTGCAGTGCATACAGCAGCTCTGCCTGCATCCGGGCTTCCAGGATAAGCAGGTTCACATGGACCTAAGAGAGAAGCAGAAGGGGTTCAGGTAGCTGCAGTGTGCTGCAGGTAGCACTGCAAACAAGCACCTACTTGGGCTGGTGAGTCTCTTGGCATAGGACAAAATGGGACTAACTTTTCCAGCACAGGCAGCTGCCCTTTCCCACCTCCTCCCAGTCCTGCAGGCTGTGGCTGCCTCCCAGAGCCTTATGCTATGTCCTGGCACACTTGGCACCAGCGTGCCAGGCTGGCAGTGGCACAGTGTCTGCTGCCCACAGCAGCCACTCCTGCAAGTTACACCTGGATGGAGGGCTCACCTAGAGGCACCCACCCACGGGGTAATGGAGATCGCTGCACTGCTGGTGGCCCCTGTGCCCATCACATTGGGCAGCCCCACACGATGCTAAGCTCAACTCCTTACAAATAGCCAGTTTCCATTTCTCCTTACACCTGCCTCAGACTGGTTTGGTGACTCAAATGTTTTCTGTAGACCCCCTGAAGGACCCCAGCCTGCAGCTCTGCCAACTCCCAGGCTCACTGCAGGCAGTCAGAGCCAGGGGCTTCTGGCTGTCCCACCTTTTCACTGTGCTTGAACTGCTTCCAGAACCTGTCAAACATTTCTGGGTTTGTCTTCTCTGGGTAGCAGGTTACAGTTTTAATGTAAACTTTGAGCATTCGCTCCAGGAGGTGATTCACTTCTGCATAATCGTAGTCATCGTACCTGTGGGGAGCACAGGGGCAAGTCACAGCCAGCACATCACTACAGAGCACCTTGACCGTGGTCTGCGTGGGGCACGACACAGCCACAGGGCAGGGGGACACAAGGCAGCAGCCACCAGGCACTGAAGCCCTGTCCCCCAAGTTCCCTGCCCTGACCAGAGAAGCTGAGCATCTCTTCCCTGCCTGGGCCATCATCCAGGCTGGCAATTCACCTCCATCTCTTCTCCAAACCCATCTGCAAGACAGCTGGAGTGCCCTCCTCTCTCCCCACTTGGGTCAGCTTGGTTTTCTCCCATGGAGCACGAGGTTGGTTTCCCTACCTAATGCCAAACATGCAGTGGATGTAGTTCCAGATGCCCCGCTTGAAGACAGAGGGCTCACAGCCCTGCCTCTTGGCCATGGCACTGCTTTGCAGACCATCCACCATCCGAAACTTCTCATCCAGGAGATGCCCAATATCAGAGTAGAGCCGGTTGACCAGTGAGAAGCCATGGTCTTCCCAGGAGTAATCCTGTTGAGCACAGCAAGAGACCTTCACAACTGCAAAAAGCCCAGGGCATGTTCCCACAAAGAAGGGCCGGAGAACTCAGGATGCAGCAGAATTCCAGAGATTTGCTCTGAGGGAAGCTCTGCCACAAGCCACAACACCCCTCATCAGGCAGCTTTTGAATTATTTTAACCCTTGTTTCAATGAGGAAAATGTGAAAAGATGGGCAGCCTTTGGGTACAGAAGTCACTGGTCACCTCCCTCTCATGAACCCTAGTGGGGCAGGTCCCCTCTGAGACCTGAGCTTCCCAGCTCAGGCATTCTGCAAACACAGCTGTACCAGACCCCAGCTGTACAGTCACCCCTGCGACCATCTGCTCCCCACGAGGAGCAGAGAGGAGATGGGAGGAGAGGTGGCAGCCCAGGCTGCCTGCCGAGAGAGCAGGAACCTCACCTGGGCTCTGAATACCTGCGCCTGGTCCTCATCGCGCCGGGCAAAGTCCTGGTATCCAAAGTCAGGATCCTGCATGTAGCATGCAAGGTTGGTGGCACCAGTGACTTCCCTGTCAGCATCTGCAAGAGCGGAGAGCCCCCCAGATGGATCAGAGTGATGCTCAGCTGTCCTGTTCCCAGATGCAGCAGGTGTCAAAAGCTGGGCCTTGCTGGGCTTCTTTGGGAAGTGTCACTGCCTTCTTCTTCCTCCCCCTGCCAGCACCCCAGGAATCCCTCAGCCATACATCATGGAATACATAAGCATAGTCATGGGGAGCAACACCCAGGGATGCCATGTGCACTCCTCTCCTGCACACCCACCTCTGCTCCCTGCCCCCTCACCTTCCTCTCGGTCCTGCTGCAGCAGCCACGTCTCCTCCCTGCCTTCAGTCTCCACATGGATCCGCTGCATGCGTTCCCGGAGGGAATCCAGCTCCATGCAGGAGTCCAGGGACTGCACAGAGACAGGGTCCGGGGTGAGGGCAGAGCTCCTGGGCCACATTGCCCCGCCGTGGTCCCAGCCTCAGGGGCTCACCCGCTTGCGGTTGATGCGCAGCAGCTCCTGGCTGCAGCCGTTGCCAGC